TTAGGTATCTTGTCCAGAATCACAAACAACTCAGTGAGCCTCAACTAGAAGGCATGTATCCAAACACTTCAGTGAAGGTTCTTCCTGCCAGACAATGCTGTCACACTATTTATTCACAGTAGGAGTGTGTAACTGATGTGACTGTGGCAGGGGAAGGAAATATTAACTATCTTTATTCTAGGCACTGCACAGAACACAGAAGCACTCCACAAACAAGACATAGTAGAAGTAGAGCAAACTTGCCCAGCTCATTCTCCGAAAGCCATAAGCAATGCCAGAAACCAAAGTAACTGAGTTTTCAATCGGACTTTCACATTAGTTTTTAAAATGGTGTTTGGATGGAAAGTTTCATGTTAAGTGAAATGAGTCAGAAAGAGAGGGACAGACATAGAAAGGTTGCACTAATTTGTGGAATATAAAGTAACAGAATGAGAGACTAATACCCAAGGGTAGTAGAGAGAAGTACCAGGAGGTTTGCTCCACGGCTTGGAAGTTGGCCTCACATGCTGGGGGAAAAGACAGCTCAGATAGACAAGGGAACACCAAGAAAAGGGTGTTTAGAGGGCCTGCTCGGGATGGGAGATGCATGCTGAAAGTAGACTATAGACCAAACATGATGGCCATTCAATACTTGTATTGCAGACCACAACACCCTAAAAGAAGAAAAAAAGGGAATGTGTCACAGAGGTGTAGGGGAGTGGGGGGAAGTGGGGGGGATGGGAGGGATACTGGGAACATTGTTGATGGAGAACAGGCACTGGTGGAGGGATAGGCACTCGATCATTGTATGACTGAAACGTAAGAACAAAAATTTGTAAGTCTGTAACTGTACCCTATGGTGATTCGTTAAAAAAATAAATAAAATAAAATAAAATAAAATGGTGTTTGGTAGAAAAGTGTTGAAATGAGAAATAAAAATTGAGAAAAAGTAGAGAGATATTTAAAGAATTTCATTTAGGAGTGCTGGGATAAGTAACCAAAGAGTACATCCCTTGCCCAAACCCCATGCCACAAAGAGAGATTCAGAACATGAAAGGATAACTAGCCCTTTGGCCATTTCTAGCCACATCTCTGCAGCATGCCGACTCCAGTCAAACACACACACACACACACACACACACACACACACACACTTAGAAAAGTAAAAGAATAAGACCATGAGTTGCCATCAATCCTCATTTCCACCCATCTATTCTGAGCAGCTCTGTTGTCTAGAGCGCCATATGACTTCAGCAAACAGCGCAACTAAAAATTGTTTGAGCACCATGGCCAGGAGTGCGACTCACAGCAAGCACTACAGTCATAATGTGCATGAGTACCCAAGGACATACTACTAACGTGCAAGCACCACAAGCAAGCATGTGTGCAACCAACAATACCAAAAGAAAAGGAAAGGGAAACAGAAATGATGAAGAATGACAGCTATTTACCAAACAAAAGAGATATCGGGAAGTCCAGCAAATGACCCATTTTTGGAAAACTGAAAACTCCATGCCTTTTGTATTCTACAGCAAATTATTCAGATATTTTCAATGCAAACCTCTCCAAATTTTCCATGCATTTCAAATCTGGTCCCTAACATATAAACTATCAATCAAAGTTCTAAGGCTACAAGGAATAGAAAGCAAGTGGCTAGTGTAAGTGAGAATATTGGAAAGAAATCAAAAGCTCATCAAATCTGTATCAGACAGGAAAATAAGGTTTAGAGATCATCTGTGGCCAGAAAGACACAGAGTCTAGGAAATGGAAATTGCTGCAGTATTCTCAAAGCAATTACTCTTACAACACCATGTTCAGTGGAAGAACTAAGAATCACTTAGTACAAAATTCAAGTTTAAAAGAAGAAACATCAAATTAACCAAACTTGTGGTCCTACAGCCATCCCAAGACTAAGTATGGATGCCTAAGTGGAGCTCCTAGTTACAATTTCACTAGTCTATGCATCGCATAATGAAGGTGCTATTAGGAAAAATAAACTACACAAGAAGGAAAAAGAGTGCATGGAGGAAGAGGAGAGAAAGAAATCCCACTCTCATTCAATGAGACTGTCATCAAAAATTCCTTAAAAACTTAACTGCCTTGCAGAAATTCACTAATTTATAATGCCATAATCATTAGTGATTGATCATATAAAAATAAAGTTATTGATGTTTACAAGATGCTTACAAGACTTCAACTTTCTAATTTCCTGAGACCTTTCCTCTCACAATACCTAAACAGTATCTTTTACTTGTTTTCTAAAGGCACTGAAGAATTTGCCTTTTTTTTGTTAACATTTTCATTTTGAAAACATTATTCTAAAGCACCTAAAAGTAATAGATTTTTAAAAATATCTAATGAATAAATTCACACTTATGCTAATATTGATGATAATGATTAATGACAACAGTAACATAAACCAAGGCAGCAGCAGTTCGTATCTGCTGAGTGAGAAAGCAAATGCTGGCAGGGATATGGAGAAAAGAAACCGCTATCAATTGCTAGTAATATAAATTGATCCAATCTTTATAGAGAACACTATGGAGACTTATCAAAAAATGAAAATAAAACTACCATGTGATCCAGCAATAAATATATCCCCCAGAAGTCAAAAGCACTAATTCAAAAAAATATATTCATATGTAAGTTCATTGCAGTGTTATTTGCAATAGCCACGATCTGAAAACAACCCAAGTGCCCAACAACAGATGAGTGAATAAGGAAGTATCGCACACATACAACAATGGAATATTGCTCAACTGTAGGAAAGAAAAGATTAAATATTGCTTTTGTTAAAAGATACACAGACCTGGAAGATTTCATACTAAGTAAAATAAGGTAGAAGACAAATACCATCTCACTCATAGGTAGCATAAAAAAAAAACAATGCAAGAGGATAGACAATATCCAGTGAAAACAAACAAGTAGACTTTCATCACAGAAATGAGGGTGTCCATAGTGGAGAGAAAGTAGAAGAGAAGAGTCATCTAGATAAGGATGGAACATCACTGGCATTTTGGTGGCAAGTATGATGTGGTAATGATATACCCCTAATATTATCCATATTCTTATAAACCAATTTTACTTCAATAATAATTTTAGCACAGCGGTAGGGCGTTTGCCTTGCATGCAGCCAACTCGGCCGACCCGAGTTCGATTCCTCCACCCCTCTCGGATATCCCGGCAAGCTACCAAGAGTATCTCGCCCGCACGGCAGAGCCTGGCAAGCTCCCCGTGATGTATTCGATATGCCAAACACAGTAACAACAAAGTCTCCAATGGAGACGTTACTGGGCCCGCTCGAGCAAATTGATGAACAACGGGAGGGCCTTTACCTTTACCTTTAATAATTTTAGTAAATTAAATAAAATGGCAAAAAAATAGATACATACCATTTATCCTGGGCCAGGACCTATTCAAAGTCTTTAACATAAAATAATTCATTTGATCTATATAACTACCTTATAAAGAAAATATTATCACCCCATTTAACACATTGGAAAAAAGAGACTGAGAAAATAAATAGCTTGTCCATGGGCCAAGAGTTAATAAAAGTCAAACTAGGACAAAAACCACAATTCCTGAATACCAATTCAACAAAGGATTTTCACTGAGCATAAGGGAAATGGACTGCACTGGTGTGAACATTCTAAGAGAACTGTGAGTACTGTGGCTGTACCTTAATGTTACAAGCTTTTCAAGATTTCCACATCATCTCTACAGTCCAACAATTCATGAGAATATATTTCTAAAAGCTATCAAAAACTGCTTTATTCCAAGATGTGGCTCAATGGCCCAGAGATATGCAAGTTAAATGGCTGAAAATAAGAATCATCTACTTCTTAAGATAGTTTTTTCTTCAGTATTGGTCAACCATTACAGAAAAATTCCAAGCTAACCAGTTTCCATAAAGTTTAGTCATCCCAAGACAAATCCTCAAAGGGGTGAATTTATAGTTCATGTTTTGATCATTCAAGTGGAGTTCATCCATTTTTCCCATAAACTTCTTTTTCAGGCTCAAAATAAATATTAACAGTTCAGCCCCACAAGTAGATTTATAATACAGTTGGGAATGACTCAAAATATAAGGTAGATCAAAATGGACTTTTTCAACTTTAACCAAAGTGGTCATAGTCATGATTACTGCAATAAAAACTACAGGGGGAGAAAGAACCCTAAAATTGTCAAAAACATAATTGATGATGAAAACAAATGTAAAATTGTGGCATATTTCACCCTGACCACCAAAGACTCTTGATGAAACGGCAGACCTTTAATTCCCCAGAATGAATTCTTTAAATTAAAATACTTCATGCAGAACAGAAATTAAACAATGAATCAAAGAACAATGCTGTTATAGTGGTAAGCTTATAAATATACTTAGCAAAAAGGAAGCAATTACATTTTTTCATGTAAAAGCCAACCAATTGAAATGTTTCATGGGAGGCTGAGTAGGTGCTTTCCCCAATGCTTCTTACTTGGATATTCATTTCCAGTAACTCACTTTGGATTCACAGGGACCGGGTGGAATGAAATTAGCTCTACCAAATGGGCTCGCTTTCTTCATGCTACAAAACTAGCTCCTCCACGCAACTGCACGACTGACTTTCATAATAAATTTCATCCAACCCACTTGAAATGCCACTCTACATTTTATTTTAAATGCTTTATGTGTCCAGCTGGTTTTAACTATTGACCAAAAGTAGTTTGCGTGCATTCTTTTTCCATCTAGCATTAATCTTAGTAAACTTAGCTCCATTGAAATGTCTTAACTGCTGAGAAGAAAGCAAAAGTCAGCAAGCATACAATTGCATTTGGCTTCCCTCAGCACATCATTTTATTTCCTCCTGCTTTTTGCTAACTATTGCTCAGCACTTTTGCCTACGAGAGAGGACAAGCAGGTGGTAAAAGAACTTGTTTTGTCAGCTATATCTTTAATCCCAATGTTTAAATCTCTGAATAAAAGAAAATCAATATTGTAAAGGCAATGTTTGTCAAGGCCGTGTAATAAATACACTTACCTTTACAGAATGTTCTCAATGGGCTTCCTTCCTTTGTTGAGCTTCAAAGCTACGAAGAAAATTGGAAACAACGGGTTATCTGTGTTTTCTTTCTAAAACACCAACCATTTTCTTTCCACGTCTCTATAGTAAAATCTCCATATGCCAGAGTATGAAATGCTAGCCAGGTAAACCATTGATAAAACCAGTGCTTCACGCCTCTTGCACAAGTAACCAGTGAAAACACAGGGTCAATAAAGTGAAAATGGCATACACATCTAGCCAGAACACAATTACACAAACACAATTACACAACATGGCCAAATCTACAAAGCTTTCGGGTTGTAAATTCCTTGACCAAACTCAAACGACACGTAAAGTGCAGAGATGAAAATCAAATTAAATGTTATGGCAAGCTACCATAACATTGTGATGTATTCGATATGCCAAACACAGTAACAACAAAGTCTCCAATGGAGACGTTACTGGGCCCGCTTGAGCAAATCGATGAACAACGGGAGGATAGTGACAGTGACAGTGACAGTGACAGTTATGCAGCATACTCACTATCACCAAGCATTTTATTTTTATATTTCTTTTATGCTCGTCTTTCTTGAGCATTCAATTTCCACTTCTTTGAAAAGGTTTTAATTAGGATAGCCTATTCCATTCATTTAGGGTGCTTGGTCCTCCCACTCCAGACCTTACCACTTGCCCCCATGAATATCTCTGTATAAAGCTTTTAGGCACAATCTTTTTTTTCTCTAAGTAGAATACAATGTTCTCTCAGGAGAAATGAGGAAAAAATAAGAGGAAGATATATTTGACATTTCAAATCAATTATCAACATGGTAAATGAAGCTTCCTAATGCCAAAAGATATCTTACACTGACCCCACACAAGTCAATATAACAGGACATCTAGAAAATTACAGTCAAGTAATAATAATAAATCACAGTTTCAAAGGACTGCTTTTATAGTAAGTCACCATTACTCATATGGTGATGCCATAGTCAAAATTAAAAGAATTAAAATATGTGTATTTTTCATTCAGGCGAGGTCCTGACATCCTTTTGTGTTTTTATTTTTTTTTATCTTTTAAGGTACTGTGATTTATAAAGTTATTTCAGGCACAAAATGTTCCAAAATCAATCCCATTACCAGTGTCAACTTCCCTCCACCAATGTCCCCAGTTTCCTCCAACTCACTCCCTCAACCTGTCTCTATGACAGGCACTTATAATTATTATTTTTTTTAATTTTAGAGCTTGTGATTCACAACACTGTTACTGATAAGGTTTCATGTCTGACGCATTCCAACTTGACTGGAAGATCCCTCGCCCAGAGAGATCATTTCCCTTCATAGCTGCCCCCCTGCTGGCCCCCACCATCTTTTCTCCCCTGCGGTCTGCATCTTACTGAAGACTAGTTCTCAATTTCTGTTGCCTTTGGAAAATTGTTATTCCTCTACAATGTTTTTGCTATATTCCACATATGAGAGAGAATATTCTGTGTTATTCCCTCTCCTTCTGATGAATTTCACTTAGCATGATACTCTCCAGATCCACCCATGAAGTAGGAAATCGCATCTTTTCTCACAGACTAGCATATTCCATTGTATATGTACCACAGTTTCTTTAGTCAGTCATCTATTCTTGAACACTCGGGATGTTTCCATACCTTGGCTATTGTAAATAGTGCTTCAATAAACATAGGAGTGCAAATGCCTTTTCTAGTGTTTAGGGGGTGTTGGAATAAACACCAAGAAATGGAATTGAGAAACCACAAGTGGAAACTCAATTCCTATTTTTTGATAAATGTCTACATTGCTTGTCAAGACAACTGAACCAATCTACATTTCTACCAGCAGTGAATGGGGATCCCCTTTTCCCCACATCCATGCCAGCAATGGCTTTTGTTCTTTTTGATATCAGTCAATCTCTGTGGTACTATCTCATGGTTATTTTGATTTGCATTTTCTGATAATTAGTGATGCGAAGAAATTTTTCATATGCCTTTTGACCCTTTGTATGTCTTTTTTAGGGAAGTTTCTTTTTTTAATATTTTTAATTATTTATTTATTTTACAAAGCTGTTCGTGATTGGATTTCAGTCATACAACATTCCAATACCCATCCCTCCACCTGTGTATATTTCCCAGCACCAGTGTCCCCAGGTTCTCTCCCATCACTCCCCACCCCTGCCTCTTCAGCAGGTGCTTTTCTTCTCTCTCTCTCTCTCTCTCTCTCTCTCTCTCTCTCTCTCTCTCTCTCTCTCTCTCTCTCTCTCCCCCCCTTTTGGGCACAGTGGTTTGCAAAACTGATACTGAAAGTTTATCCAGAATATCCCTTATCTTTACGGAAGTTAATGCTCATCTTTTCACCTCATGTTTTGTGGGTTTGTTGTTTTTATTTTGTGTATATATGTATATATATAAACATATATACACATAGAAATATCCTAGAAGTACTTTATATGTCTTGTATATTAACCCTTTATTAGATAATTGTTGGGCAAATATTTTCTCCAAGTCTGTATGATGTCTTATTTTTCTAGTTATCGGTTTCATTTGAGGTTCAGAAAGGCTCCTTAATTTGATGAAATAGCATTTGTTTTCCTTTGCTCCCATTGGCTTGGCCAATAGCATTGAATCCTTGAAGATACCCTTAGTTTCAGTGTCATGGAGTGTTCTGCCTATGTTTCCCTCAATATAACTTATGGATTCAGTTCTGTTATCAAGGCTTTTAAAACATTATGATACACTTTTTGTACATGGTGTTAGAAGGAGTCTGAATTCATTTTTTTTTGTACGTGCCTGACCATTTTTCCCAGCACCACTTCGTGAAGAGCCTTCACTTGCTCCACTTCATACTTTTTGCTCCTTTATCAAAAATTAACTAGGTCCTGACATCTAAATGCATCATACTTTAAAATTACCAACTACTCCATGGTTTTTCTATCTTCTTTTTCTTTTTCCAATGGGCTAAATAACTTCTTTAGCACTTACTTGCTATTTCCCCCCAGAATGCTCTGTCCCTTCAAAGAACCCACTACCACTAAAGCATGATCACTACAGAACAAGATCATATTTATGAACTACAATGTGAATCTTTCCATGTCAATGCAAGAGATATGTACTCTTCTCTCACAGCATAATGTAAAAAGTTTCTCCTTCCTGTGTTATATAGATGAAATAGGGTTGGGAGTTGCCTAACATGAAGATGACTAGGTAGAATATAGTAGTTAGTGTAGTTAAGGTCCTTGCCTTAGGACTGAAAGAAGCCAATCCTCATTCAAATCCAGGATATCTGTCTTCCAAGCACTGCCAGAAGTTATGCCTGATCACAGCGCCAGGAGTAAGCCCTGAGCACAAGTGCTGGGACCCCCACCCCGAAAAAAACAAAAATTTTACTGTTATATTTTGCTAATAATGAGACTTGACTTATAGATTGCATGGATGCATGGCATTGAGCTATAGATCCATTCCCATTTCAAACACATCAACATACTGTATTTTTTTAAATACCATATGGTGAATTTCAAAGAAAAAACTCAATATGAAATAAAAGCCAAAATGTACAAAAAAATTTAAATTAAAGATTTTTTTTGAAAAAATAAAAACACACCAAGACCTTAACAAAATAAATTAACACAAATTCACAGATATCACTGTCACTGTCCTCCCATTGTTCACTGACTTGTTTGAGCAGGCCCAGTTAACGTCTCCATTGTGACACTTGTTACTGTGATTGGCATATCAAATATGTCACGGGTATATCAGAAGGAATCCACAAAACAATAGAAATAAAGTGTAAAGAGACAGACTTTTTGCAAAGCAACTTGGCATCAGCAAAAATAAAAACAAGACAACAATGGAATAACACTAACACATTCATGGTACTTAGGAGGAAAAGTTCATCAAAAATTCTACAGTCATTTAAAACCTATCAAGAATGGCCAAAAAGAAAAAAATTGGGGGAACTGGAGCAATAGCACAGCGGGTAGGAAGTTTGCCTTGCAGGTGGCCAACCCGGGTTCGATTCCCAGCATCCCATATGGTCCCTTGAGCACCACCAGGGGTAATTCCTGAGTGCAGAGCCAGGAGTAACCCCTGTGCATTGTCGAGCATGACTCAAAAAGCAAAATGAATAAATAAATAAAACTTAAAACTTTTAAATAAGATCATTGCTTACAACTCATGTACTTTACTTTGGTAAAATAATAAAATATACACTTGAGGGGAAAAAACTGATCCAGAAACGAAGATTATGGAACAGAAAGAAATAGTAAAGAAAGAAATTAGCAAACAAGATAGTTAAGTCTAGTAAGTATAGTCACACACATTTGACGTTTCTCAAAAATACAATGTGAAACAAAGGTGGCAATTCATAGCAGGCTAATATAATATTATTTCATATATACTATTCAAAAAAATTCTTGTTTTGGACTGGAAGTGATAGAAAATACTGTAAAGAAAAAACAAAAAATGCTTAACACAAAGTTCACATTAAGTTTATTTTAAGAAGTTCAGGGAAATGGCACAGAGTGCTGGAGCATGTGTTTCATATGCAGGAGTCAGGATTTGATTCCCGGTACCAGAGGTCACCCTGAGCACAGTCAGGAACAACCTCTGAGCTTCACGCAAGGAGAAGTCCCCAGCATCATCGGCTGTGGACCAAAATAAAAATAAAATAATAATAAAAGTTCTCTTGAGAATGGAAAGGAGAAAAGGAGATACAATACAGGAGAAACATGGGAAATAAGTAGGATGCTGGATAAAATTATGCTCTTTTTACCGGTCTGGGGAGAGTAATATAGAAGCTCTGCTTATCACATTCTTATTACTATAAATAAATACACATTTATACACTTTCAGAAATAATTTTGCATGTGATGCTCTATTTCACAATTTTAAAGCATACTAGAATAATCAGTAGAAGAATAAAAATCCCAAAGCAATGGAGGGAAGAATCTGGAGAAAAGAACCATCAATAAAAAGATGAGAATTGGCGGGGAAAAGAAGCAAAGGAAAGAGAAAACACAAGAAAACATTCAAAATCAGTTAAGACATG